TTATTTATTTTTATTTATTTTTATTTATTTTTATTTATTTTTATTTATTTTTATTTATTTTTATTTATTTTTATTTATTTTTATTTATTTTTATTTATTTTTATTTATTTTTATTTATTTTTATTTATTTTTATTTATTTTTATTTATTTTTATTTATTTTTATTTATTTTTATTTATTTTTATTTATTTTTATTTATTTTTATTTATTTTTATTTATTTTTATTTATTTTTATTTATTTTTATTTATTTTTATTTATTTTTATTTATTTTTATTTATTTTTATTTATTTTTATTTATTTTTATTTATTTTTATTTATTTTTATTTATTTTTATTTATTTTTATTTATTTTTATTTATTTTTATTTATTTTTATTTATTTTTATTTATTTTTATTTATTTTTATTTATTTTTATTTATTTTTATTTATTTTTATTTATTTTTATTTATTTTTATTTATTTTTATTTATTTTTATTTATTTTTATTTATTTTTATTTATTTTTATTTATTTTTATTTATTTTTATTTATTTTTATTTATTTTTATTTATTTTTATTTATTTTTATTTATTTTTATTTATTTTTATTTATTTTTATTTATTTTTATTTATTTTTATTTATTTTTATTTATTTTTATTTATTTTTATTTATTTTTATTTATTTTTATTTATTTTTATTTATTTTTATTTATTTTTATTTATTTTGATTACCTTATAATATTTCTGTACATACTTCGATTGATGTAAAGTAATTAATATTTTTTATTAAATAAATGGACTTATACACCCTCGAACCATACATTGATGAATTCACAAAAAAAAGACCAATACGAAAAATATTATGATTACAGGGTGATTTATTTAAATTTCATTCGATGACGTCATATCTTGATAAATATGACAGGTGATGAAAATCCCTAAGCGTCATTAAATAGTGCATGAAATATTCAAAAAACTTTATTGGGGTTAATTTTAATTACAATCCATAATTCACCCACAAATCGGGTGTGCCTCCAATTTTGCCCATCCCTGTATATTTTTTAATGTACATTTCTCAAAAGCGAACAAAATTGACTAATATAAAATACATTGCTGAATTTCACTTGTTCAATTAATAAACTTTTCCAGAATTAAATCCGTTTAATCCAAGTCAATTTTAATAAAACTTTAAAGAAAAAACTATGTCAAAGTCTCAAAACTGGATAATAAATATGGAAAAAAATGTTTTTTTTTAAATATAAACAAGAATCCTCGCTCATGTTTTGCGTTCCTTCCAATATTGACAAGGGCTTTGAATCTGGAATCCGGATAGACACACCGAAGCTCCGAATTTACTCAAGAGTTCCAAAACTTTTAATATTAAAGTAAACTCGAAATTTTTTTGTCGAGACTTTTCAATATTCTTGAAAGTATTATTAAATGAACAACTTTTAAAATTTTTAAACATTATGCATCAAAAAGTTTCTTAAGTAAGAAATGGCCCAGAAAACATTTGCGAGTGGAAGACAGTAGAAGTGCAAAAAGTAATTATATAAGGTACAGCAATTTAAACTTGGTCCGTCTAAATGTGAATTGGACAAGGTATAATAGAAACATGCGTGTAACAAATAGAGACTGTTGATCAGAAAAAATCGCCTCATTACATAATAACAGTAAAGATGGGAATTGTATATGATCCGCTATCTTTGAAATTAATTTTGATTTCATTATTAAAATACCTATTTTTCAGTTAGAAAAATAAAAAAAAATCATTCGCCAAGCGATTTATTCGTAAGAGTAATTTTCCTTCAAGTAAATTTGTAGTACGTTCTCATTTCCAACGCAAATACATTTCAATTTCGAAATAATAAAGAGCTACATGAATCATTTTCTTGCACGACCATAAAGAGTGACAATTTCCCAAAAGCTCTCTCACTAAAGGCGTAGTGGAAAATAGAAAAACGCCGAGATCATATAACTCCACAGGTATTTTAACATATAAACATTTTCCGTGGAATATAAGCCGTGCATACCTCGGGGGTAATACATTCTTTATGCCCTAAAAGATTTATGGATGAAACTTTTAAGGTCCGACATAAGACAAATGCTGCACCTGAGACGCGAGTATATATACACTTCTAAGATGATTTCTCGGGAATGAAAGAATTGTTTATTTGCGATAAAATATGGGAGTATTTCTTGGAAACGTGTCGGACATTAGTCTGCGTTAGAAGCTTTATTTCTAGATATATTTTTTAGTATAGGTATGATACCCACTCATGTCAACGATAAATCTCAGAGGGTAAAAGAAAACAATTACCCAAAATATATTTAAGGGAAAGTATTAAGGAATTGGCAACAAACCAGAGACTCCGTTGATAAAAGAGCGTTAATCAATGAAACTCTTATCTTATCTCATTTAAAACGCGCAAGGTTGTCCTCAGTAATACTAAAAAAATCGATTGTGCGTAGGTGTCATACACACTTCCGACTTGTTAAAACGAATTTGGGACCGAAACTCAAGGGGTTAGCTAGTAACCGCCGTCAAAGAGCTCCACTATCTATCTCCTGGTTCCATTGGATTTTATTATTTTATCAGCTCAGCTCGATGGAATTATAAAATCATGGTAAAAAGTACGCAAACAATTTAACTAAATTCAACCTTGCATATATTTAAAATAAAACCGTGGATTTGGTCCATCGTCTGCACAACGCCTAATAAATAAAGTTTCACGATTGTTTGTTAACTAGTGAATGAATGATACATTAATCACAGAAAATACTTTAATATTTATACATGAGTGACAATTCAGAAAACTAGATAATGTCTGACCTGACATTCTTATTATTTCAATAATAACTTAACTTGATATTTACAGGACAAGCATGTAGTCCTTGTAGTATGAATGAAATATGCTAAAAATCTCCCTTTTTCTTTAACTCAAATCATCATAGCCGTATCGATCAGGCCTTTGTGTAATTCGACGAGGTCTATTCTGAATGTTAAAATGTTGACTAGTTGAGCTATCAGTGGGAATATGGTTGGGTAGAGTTGTTGAGGTTTGTACTAACAAACGTGTCTATTAAAATATTTATTGCCGCAAACTTTTTGGTCTGTATATTGTTACAGAATATTTGCAGTTTCTTGTATTCAGCTGATTTGCACTAGCTCTGACAAGATTATTTTTGTTTTCTAGAAGCATTATACATTGTCAGAGACAGACGGACTTCGAATCCTACACCAGACCATGTGGATTTTTAATTAAATTGCATGGTTCGGTATAATATTTGATGTGTGCCGTATTAATAAAAAATTAATTTCTGTTGATATGACATGCAGATTATAAAATCGCCATGCATTACCTTCTCGATGATGGTGGGTGAGGTTTTCCGGGTTTTCATTACCTGTAAGTCAAATGGCACGATCAATCACCTCTAAGTCGCCCCGGAGCGCCACGGCAAATAATAATAATAATAGCCGTCCCTTTTTCCGCACAAGCTCAGCTTTTGGGGTTAAAATTCACTCGTAAGGGGGTGAATTAGGGAGAGTATTATTATAAATATTATTATTATTATAATATTACATTTCCTGTGCGTTCTATAATTTTTATTGTAGTCCATTCTTCTACATTTCAAGAAGTAATTTTGACGAATACTAAATCTCCTGGACTAAAACTCTTCTGTTTTGCTCCATGTCTCTCATAACAATAGGTCGTTCACGGTTTTAATATTTCAATTGAACTTTAATTTTGCAGGTGGTTTGCCATTTGGTGCACTTCTATTAGGTGTTGTTTTATATTTTTGAAGAAAACTTCGTTTTTCCCCAATATTTCTTTCCCCTTTTATCTTCTTAATTGCTCTTTAAAAGTGCTGGTAAATTGTGTACCATTATTAGTTACCATTGTGTTGGGAAGTTCAAAAATTGTAACAGTATTATCTAATTTTGCTACGATTGCTGAAGATATGATCAAGTTTAATTGAAAAACTTCAGGCCATTTTGAATAAGCATCAATCAAAATAAGATAACTAATACCTTCTACGGATCCAGCAATATCAAGATGAATGCGATTCCATGGTTTTTTAGAAATAGGCCATGATGAAAGTTGGGTCTTCACTGATGATTTTGAATCTTGGAGGCAGCTGTTACATTAGTGAACAAAATCTTTAATGTGCTTATTCATTCTGGACCAGTATGCATAACTTCGTGCAATGAATTTCATCATTTCTTTACCTGATAGACCTCTATGAAATTGTTTAAAAGTTATTTTTATAAATTTCTTAGGAATTACAATTCTATCACCAAACATGAGACAATCTCACATGAGAGATAATCTTTTCTGTTAAAGAACTGTTGAATATCTTCATTATCAATATTGGTCGGCCAATTATTAGTAACGTAATAAACAATTTTTACTAAAATGCCATCTTTCTTAGTTTCATTGGCTATCCTTTTGGCTGTAATAGGGAGATTTTCTTCAATATCGCTCAATATTTGTTTAATGGAATCCTTTATATGCATAGCAGCAATGACAAATTCCTGATCTTACTTGGTTTTAGCGTCCATGAGTCGGGATAAAAAGTCTGCATATCCAAACGAATTTGTTGATACAAAACATATTTTGAAATCATAAGACAACAACGTATGTGCCCATCTGTGTAACCTGTTTGCGGTATATACAGGTATTCATTTAGTTGAACCAAAAATGAAGAATAAAGGCTTGTGGTCGGTCTGGAAAATACATTTTTAGCCAAAAATCATTTTGTGAAACTTTGTAACTGCAAAAATTAAAGCAAGGGCTTCCTACTCTATTTGGCTATATGTTTGTTCTGCTGATGTTGAAGAGCGAGACGAATGGCAAATTGCCTTCAGTGTAGGTCATTATTGAATGCGTCTTTGAAGGTAGTTTAGATTTTTTCAAAGATGTTGGTTATTGCTGAGTGCCAATTTTATGACATATTGAGTTTATTGGAACGTCCCAAAGTCCCATTTTCTCAATTCAGTTAGTACCAATCAGGTTTAGATGATTAATGGACGAAACCAAGCATGTTCCACTGACTGGCTCTGAGTTTGGCAATTTGGCAATTCATTATTCCTGTAAGTTTAACTTCTTCACCTGAAGAATTTTTTGCAATCTGGTTGGTTTGTGAAATAGTAGGTTCACTATCATTTTTTTTTATTTCATCATCAATAATAGTTACATCAGAAGCAGAATCAAACTTAAATTTAACTTTAGAATCATTAATGTAAACTTCAATAAATTTCTTAGATTAATTGATAAAAATGGTTTTTGTTCAAAATGTATTTTTATTTTTGAAATTATTTGCAGAAGAATGAAAAAATCTTTTTTGAAAACAATAACAGTGTCCCTCTTTATGGACAATTTCCCCACGTAAAAATGCAAGGCACCATATTGCCAATAGGAAGTGCGCGGTTTCTTCGGATTGTCTTCAAGTGAGGTAGAATTTATTGTTTCAATTTTAGATAGAAGTCGAGTGGTAATGTTAAAATATTGCGCCGCCTTTAAACCAATAGCAAACATAAAGCATTTAAACTGATTTTTAAATAATTTCTTTAATTGAAAATCTTCACATTGTTTATTCACGATTCAGGCATAAGTAAGAAAATCATCTGTCTCGGATTTTAAGATTTGAAACCATTTATATCGAGTACTAAAAATTGAAATTTGATGTCCAAAAATCTTCTTGAGAGTCGATACCGTCTGATTAATAGTATAATCATGTGGATGTTTAGGTAAAATAAAATTTATATATTTCCCGTGAGCAGGAAAACTTAAATTTCTAAGCAGTAACCAAACTCTAGCTGGGTCTTCATACCTTCTGAACCACAAATCGAAAGTAACGTTATTATCCAAACTCAGTTAGGTTTCTGGCTAAACATATAATAATCAAATCTTAAATCTGCGTTATCCATAATGGAGCTAAGCCCGAAACAACATTAATTTTTTTTGTTAGTTGTTCCTAAATTTTATTTTGCTGCTGCAATAATATTGAAAGGGTATCGACGTCCATGTTCTTCATGGCCACTGCTAACTAGTGAAAGAATGATACACTAATCACAGAAAATACTTTAATTTATGTATAACCCGGCGTTCTCAATATTTCAATAACTAACTTGATATCTGCAGGACAAGAATTTAGTCCTTGTAGTATGAAGGAAATATGCTGTTTTTTAAATCAACTTACTCTTATTTTCAAAATACGTTACCGGGTTGTCTGTTTCTTAAGATAATTTTAACAAACAAACTAGGACAGTGATATAATGTAGAGTTTCGTGACTTCCATTATATACAAAAATATGTACTTACTTTCTTTTGGAACTCCAAAACAAAATTACAGTGGTTCACTTTAATGCCTTTGTAAACTTAATAAGAAGTAGTTTAATTTTCAACGAACTGGAATTAAATGAACGCGTCTGTTCCTAATATTACCATTTATTCATTGATGAATTATTCAATTCATTACAAGTCAGTCTTCTTAATAGTTCCTACGCTGTCTTTACGAATGTCTGAGATAAGACTTCTCGTACGTGCCCATATGTATGTATTATTATTATTTATTCTGTTATTCAAATACACTTCATAACCTCATAATTTGAAATACATTCGAAACTTAACTTATATTTTGATTTGACATTTCTACTCAAATTAAATTTAATATACAGGGTAATATTATTCAATTTATCAATAATTCAAATTTATAGATTTTTATTAACTGTTTGATCTTAAAGTATTGATACTTCATTTCCATTACAAGTTCCCAAATTTGCATTTTGAATTTTCCAATTTGTTTGGTAAAATTAAATTTGTACATTTTTTTTATATGAAAATTACCTTTAAATTATTATCAATTCAATATTTATATTTTAAGTTTAAATAATTTTTAACCTAATCTATTTGTCTAAAATTTATGTTTTAAAAATGTTGTTGCTGCTATGTATTTGTTCAGATATATCACCAGAGAAACTTCTCCTCCTTGGTGCATTTTGATTCTCAATTGAAGTAAAATTCACCTGTCTTGGTCTTTCATTATCATTTATTGAATTCGATCTTTACCTGTTATTACTGAAATTTCTCGTATGATAATTATAAAGGTAATATTATTATTAGAATAATTCATATTACTGTTAATATTAAATATGTTGCTAAAGGTATTATAGTTATTATTATTTTGTCTATAATTATTATTATTATATCTGTTATTATATTGTCTATTTCTGTTGCATATCTATTAGTTCATTGTATCCACTATGGATTCTTATTTTATTGAATTTCTCACTATGTATACTATTGTTCATATTTTGGTTGTTAGCATTGAAATTATTTGTATTTACCATCCTTTTCAGATAATTACTCAATTGTTGAATCCTTTGCAGAATCTGTAATGCTATTGTTTCTGCAATTCCAGGTTTGAAATGTCTTGCAATAAACATCACTATCCCTTCTTCTTTCATTCTCGGCTGCAAATATTTGGCATTAGTTTGCAACTGTAAAGCATACTTATCTAATCCATTTCCGCTCATTTCTTCGTAATTTCCAAAATAAAGCCTTTTTCTTTTTTGCCTGTTCATTGTTTCCCCAATAGTAGCTTATAAATATCTCCTTCAAAATCTTTTATATCTTCTTACACATTTGCAAGCCACACCAATGCATGACTATCCAAACTTGCCCTGATAATTTCCTTCTTGTCTTCCATATTTCCAATATTTCTTCATTTATTCGTTAGGGCGTATCTTTCTTATATCTCCCATATATTTATATTCACTTCTCGTCATCATATAATTATTAAAAGTTCTTAATTGACCTGTTATTGTTTTTATTTCCTTCTCATATTCATCTTGTAAATGTTTCAGCTTCTTTTCCATTTATTTTAATTTCGTTTTTCCTTTTTTGTCTTCACCATTCCTTTAAAATTTTATTCTATTAATACCACCAGTTATAGTATCATTTAATTTTTTATTGTATCTATCTTGTTCTCCATTCTTTTTTCACTTTTTTTGTTGTTATTTTATTATTCTTCCTTTTAACGTTTTTATATTTTGATCTAGGGTCTTATCTATTTCTGGTACTATATTCATCAATTTAGTTTCCAAAGTTGTCATTCCTTCTACTGTATTTTGTTAATTTATTCTTGTTTCTTCTCTCATATTGTTCATCTTATTGTCTTGTAAATATCTGTTATTATTCAAATTATTTCCGCTCTAATTTCAGTCTTTATTTTAAGAATTTTATTTTCCATTTGTATTCTCGATTCTCGCTGTTAAAAAGTTTCTAATTTTCCTATCCTTTCTATGCATCATGTGTTCCATCTGTTCTCCATTCTTTTTCGTTTCTCTCTTTCTTTCTCTTTTGTCCTTGTATATTTGTTTTTAGAATTTATTTACCATACTGATAAAAATCTCCATTAGGTTTTTCATGGCATGTTCCCCTACTTCCGTTTCTTTATTATTCTTTTCCAACCCATTATCTTCTTCTATTTTATCTTTTTCTTGTTTCATATTCATATTCGTATTCATTCTTCTCTATTCCTGTTTGATCTTATTCTTGTACTTCGACTTCTAATCATCACCTTGTCCAACTTCTTCCATCTCTTCCTCATACCATTTACTTATTCTTTTCCTCCCCTTAAATCCATTTTATTTTATTTAACACTATTTTACACTATCCAATAAATTGAAAATTTTACTCGATTTCGTTTTAAAATAATATTCATGTTATAAGCACTTAGCTTCAAAGCTATATCGTTAATCAATTCTAAACTGCGTTAAAAATAATTCGATTTATCTTGAAAAGAAATACAGTTTAGATTTTTGTTTCGAGTAGGTACCTGTACCTACGCCTTTGAAGTTTCGCGTGACTCATGCATCCCAGTTCATTTAGTTAAATTGCATGTTGTCAAGAAAATTCAAGAATTCACAGACCTGAAAAATACTGTCTATTTAATTTTCAGACAATGTATGCTATTACCGACATGAAAATAAACGGCGTCTATACAGAATATTACAAACGTTTATTAATTTTGATAATTCATAACTAGTTAATACTTGATAATCATGTCTTATTCGCTATCTTTAAAGTTTAAGTATAATTTTAAGCTTTTGTGTTAAAACTAATTTAAAATAGAACTTTACAGTAGTTAAATTAAATAAGGATGTAGATAATTAAATTATACAGGGTGATTCATAACTATTGGGACATAGGTTAAGGACAGGTTATTTAGATCAAAATATGGCGATAGGATCAAATGTACCTCAATAAAATATGGCTGTGGAATAAGATACAGGGCGTTAAAGTTGAATTTTTCTTTTCGTTTTTTTTTACTGTATATTTATGAATTGTTATCAAAATCCGCTCAAAGGCATATCTTTGGACAAGGGATATTATTTTATGTATTATTTCACATTTTTTTACAGGGGGCGCCACGAGAATGATTCCTGATGATGAAATTAAGTGGTAAGTTTTTTGCCAAAACTTTTTAGTGCTTTTTATTAGAAAATATTACGTAAACATCATTTCTACGTAATATTGGTACTCCTGTTTAAACACGATAATTTCACCTCTTTTCGAGAAAAACGCAATTGAACAGTTCAGAGTCTCAGAAGGATATTTCAAAAAATATTTTATTTATGAAAAGTGTGCTTTGGACTGTCAGATAATTGTGTCTGGTAAATGTCAGTTCTTGACAATTTTTGCTGTGAGATTATAGTCTATTGTTGCATTTTTTAAAGCTTTTTCGACTGAAATGCCTCGTCACAATCATTTTACGAATGAAGAAATGCGGGATATGGTTTGTGTATATGCACAAGAAAATTTTTGCGGTCGCATGGCAGCCAGAAGGTATGAATTGTTATATCCAGACAAAAGGCAACCAACTCACAAAACTTTTGCAAATCTATTTCATCGTTTGGGTGAAACCGGGTCATTTCATAGTAAAAATCTGGGTGGTCGTCCGAAACAAATCACACCTAATGAAGAAGATGAAATTTTGGTTCGAGCAGATGAAAATCCAGAAGCAAGTTCACGTCAACTGGCAATAACAACAGGAGTAAGTCAGTCGTCTATTATTAGAGTTTTAAAAAAAGAAAAGTTTCATCCTTATCACTTCACTCCTGTTCAAAATTTGGTTCCAAGAGATCGCCCAAGACGGTTACAGTTCTGCCAACGTATTCTCAACAAACATAATGATGACCGAAATTTCATTAAAAATATGTTCACCGATGAAGCGACTTTTACTAGACGAGGTGTTTTTAATTATCGAAACAGTCATCACTGGGAAGAAGAAAACCCGCATGCTCCGAAAGAAAGACATTTTCAACATGAGTTTAAATTTATTATTTGGTGTGGCATTATAGGCGACCAACTACTAGGGCCATATCGTCTTCCTCCAAATTTAAATGGAGATTCCTATTTATTTTTTTTGCAAAATACTTTTAGAGGTATTTTGAATGATATGCCACTAGATGTAAGAAGGAAAATGTGGTTTACGTAGGATGGAGCTCCACCTCATTTCCTATTAGTTATTAGAAATTATCTAAGTGACATATTTCCTCAACGTTGGATTGGCAGAGGAAGTAATTTTGAATGACCACCAAGAAGTCCTGACTATAACCCTCTTGATTTTTATGTATGGGGGGGGGACATATGAAGTCCTTAGTTTATACCCAGGAAATTAATTCACGAGACGAACTCTGGAGGAACATACAAAATGCGGGTAACTTTATAAGGGGACAGAATAATATTTTCTTTGCCATCCGAAAGTCCGTTATTAAAAGAATTAGAAAAGGCATAGAAGTCGGAGGAGGTCACATTGAACATTTAATTTAATTTTGCTTTTTTTATGTTAAATTGTTTTTAATTTTGCTTTTACCGTTGAAATAGAAGCCTTACGTTACAATTTTTCTTATTGTGTTATTTAAAATCCCCTTCTGAGACACTGAACTGTTCAATTACGTTTTTCTCGAAAACAGGTGAAATTATCGTGTTTAAACAAGAGTACCAATATTACGTAGAAATAATTTTTAGGTAATATTTTCTAATCAAAAGCACTAAAAAGTTTCGCCAAAAAAAGTTACCACCTAATTTCATCATCAGGAATCATTCACGTGGCGCCCCCCGTAACAAAATGTGACATATTACATAAAATAATATTCCTTTTTCATAACAATTCATTTTGATAACAATTCATAAATAAACAGTGACATTATCAGAAAAAAAAACGAAAAAAAAATTCAACTTTAACGCCCTGTGTCTTATTCCACAGCCATATTTTATAAAAGTATATTTGGTCCAATCGCCATATTTTGGTCCAAATAACCTGCCCTTAGCCTATGTCCCAATAGTTATGAATCACCCATAGAAGTGCAAAACTTACCAACAATCTACATCATAGATAGAAGAAAAAAGATTAACGATTAAGCCAGAGGGTGATTTTTGGAGTCTAAAATTTTTAAGAAATTATTATATTATTTGTAAAAATCATAATCATCATATATGTACAGGAGCACTTAATAATTTAACCATTTTATAGATTTTAGTCGAAGAAAATAATCTATTTTCACGATGAGAAGGCAGTGATGTCATTTAGAGTTATTTTTATTGTCAACTGAATAACACGGAAAAACTAAGAGGAAAATACGATTTATATTTAACGTGTAGGGGAAATTAACATTTAAAGGTCGGAGACACTTCACGGGGTTGCCGATATAACCATAAAGACTAGAGAGAAGGAGTCAACTCAGCAATGACCAACAAATCTAGTAAGTTAGGAGATAGACGATGATCATCCGCATTATATTTCAAATTTATTATTATAGAGCTTCACCATGTTAGTCAAACTTATAATTGAGGAGTTTGCGCACTAAAACAAATTCAAATTCATGTCTCAGTTGCGTCAGCTGTCATAATTATTTATCGCTTTCCTGGTTTAGCAGTTTTTATTAACAAATTGTATTACTGAGTGTTTTCTGGTATTATTTTTATCATTTTATTATAACTTAAACGTGTTTAGTATTGAATTGTGATAGTAGCAGGGCCGGATGCTCCCGTGTTCAGTTTTCATCTGCCACGCGCATGACGTTATTCACATAGTAATATAGTGATTTTCATTTGCCCGTCAAAATAAATACCACCCACTATGTGCAAAATGCTATGGGCACAGTTTATAGCAGTTTTGATCTCAATGTTCCAGTTTGTACATTGCGCAACTCGGATTTGTATCCCTGACGCATACAGAATCAAATCATAATAGCCCAACAGCCCACTGCAAATTTTTACCGTCATCTTATAACGAAATGAAATATACTCCAAAAGCATGTAAACACATTGTACTTTACCAAATGGCACCTGTACCAATCCCAATCCTGAGCAATATTAAAAATATCACATGAGGCATGTATGCGCTAATATGATTTGCCTTAAAGTTTTCTAGAAAATAACATATTCAAATATATCTTGATATATATCGTTAAAGGGAAACATTTGCTTTCTCTAAACATTGCACAAAAACATCTATCCACTATCTTTAAAAATATGAATTAATTTTTGCTGATTTAAAAATTTGTTTGGATGCCTATTGTTGTGATTAATTTTTACAGGTTGCCATAGAAATAACAAAAAAAAAATATTATTATTATGATTTAAAAGAATTGTCTAATAAGAGTTTATAATTATTATTGACTATCTGTGCAAATGGTTTAAACAATGCCATCCTTCTTTCTTTTACACATACACATGGTTTAAAAGGTATGTAAAAATATTAGTGAGTCAGGTTTAAAAGCTGGGTTCACAATTGATTAGGATTGTAATTTTCAGGGAAACGCAATTGTCGCTGTCATGCCTTATGTGATTTTTTGAATATAAAATATTGTTTTTAAATACTTTGCTCAGGATAGGGATTGGCACAGATGCAATTTGGTAAAGTACAATGTGGTTACATTAAAGCTTATTTCATTTCTTTATCAGATGACGGTCGAAATTTGCAGTGGGCTCTCTTACTATAACCAATGCAATCCCTAAATATGACAACCGCATACATTTAAACAGCAGTCTTCTGCGCATCCTAAATTTGTATCCATGGAACATGGAACATGGAACATCCAGTTGGTCCGAGTGAACTAACTGATTCTTTAGCTATAAACTGTATTATGGGCCAGATGCTATGACGTCACTAACAGAGTGATTTTCATAGGTATATTGTGTGATAGTAGAGATAACGTGCAAGGAAATACATTCCAGGGAAAAATTTATTGACTTTAACAGAGTTGTATTCATGTCTCATGTCCTACTATTTGAATTTAAAATGCACCATTTCTTCTCTGTGATAGCTCTTCTTCTTTTTCTTATTTTTGTTTTTCTTTCTGTTCTTCTTCTTGTTTATTTTCCAGTTTTTCTTGTTCGCCGTCTTCTTGTTTTTCTTCTACTTCTTCTTGTTCTCCGTTTTCATTTTCTTCTTCTTCTTCTTCTTCTTCTTCTTCTTCTTCTTCTTCTTCTTCTTCTTCTTCTTCTT